AGTACAAGAATCATGGCAAAAGCTTGATTTGGTTATAAATGAGAAAATTATGACGAAGTTCTGATGCCTCCTAGACACCTCAGAAAGGAGGCTCAACTATAATTTCAGTTCCTATCATCCATGGCATGTTGAGAGGAACATTTTAAAATATATATCCAGGGACCAATCATTAAACCAATTTAGGCAAGGGCCTCTAACTCTGGATTATTAACAAATATTCCAAGGGATTACAGTGGTGCCTCGCTAGACGATGATAATCCGTTCCACTGAAATTGCTGTTTAGCGAAATCATTGTCTAACAAAAAGCATTTCCCCATTGGAATACATTGAAACCTCTTTAATGCGTTCCAATGGGGAAGAATTGTCGTTGTCTAGCGAAGATCGGCCATAGGAAAGCCGCTTTGTGTACCGCCAATCAGCTGTTTAAATCACTGTCTTGCGAAGCTTAGGTCCCTGGACGAGACAATCTCTACAGCAGAAATAGTGTCTTCTATCCCCCACCACTGATTGAGCAGCAGTGAATCTGAAGAGAGGAGATGACGCTGGGAGACACAAGGAAAATAAATTGGACATTGATTGGACATTTAATTGTACTTCAAGGAAGGAAGTTTGGTATTACTTTGTCATTATAAACTTAAGAATCATTCTCTTGAAAACATCATTGGCAACAACTCTGGGAAACTACACTTGTTTATGCTATTTGAAACATCTATCTAAGGTGCTGACAAAAAGCCTAGATTCAATTACCTTGAACACTTTATGGCTGTTTAGAATTGCCTTTCTTTTTGAGGACAGAACTGAATTGTACAGATAAATTAATCCTAGAAAGCCCTATCCAGACAAAGTGGAACTTCTAAACTGCATCCTGGGTTCTGAACTTGATGGGACCTTGAGCCTTGAGGCGAGGAAAACTCTACATCTGAGGCTGGATTCAAGCTTAACCCTAAAAATGATCAATCTATTAAATTGGACCTATGGAAGCAAGTATGGATGGAACTGGACTGATTACTTTAAACATCTGGACAACTTTCACTTGAATATAATTATTTGACATCTGCGACATAATGCAACAACAAGGACAATTTTGGGATGAAACAAAAGCTAACAAAAGCTTCAAGCAAGTTTAGAAATAGTGAGATCCCACAATGAAGAGGGAAAATTATTCACGAAGCAGTTAAAGAAGAACTATAGTCAACAGGAGACAGGGAATAATGAACAAGGAAATGAGAGTCTGGTGGATAATGTATGCCAAACAAAAGAGGGGCTGGAGAAAATTAGAGAAGAAAACCTAGGAGATTTAATTCTAACCCTGGATCTGAGGAGTTTTTTAGGTGTGCTAAGGGAAGATAAGGGGAGAGAATCAGCAGATCTAATTAAAAAGAGCCTGGAAGAATTATTGGAGACAGATCAAATGTATAAAATGTTCTCAGGTGGCACAAGGCACGGCAGAATCTTTAGAGCGATAGAAACAAGAACTGAGAAAAGACAAATAACCTGTAACCTGTGATAGTTAATATAGAAGGTTAATATTGAAGATTGATGAATTGTGAAGAATGTGCTTATGAATTATTCCAGAAACCACCTGTAATTAATAAACCTGTTTTGTTGAAACATCACTACTGGCTGGACCTTCATCTTTTCGAAGTAAACTAAGTCGATAAAAGAGATTGACTGGTGGCAGCACTTCAGAGGGCATGCTGAGGTACCTTGTGAGCTCTGTGTTTGGGGAAACAAGCAGGGGCCACAAGGGCAAATGCCACAGGAACCTACTCAGTTATTACTGCTATAAAATACAAAGCTCATTGGTTAAATTACCTCAAATTATATAAATTTGGAACCAGAATTATTTTTATTAGGTATGTTATTAGAGGATTTTGAGAACATGGTATACTATGAAAACAATATTATGATAGTAGCCAATATTGTATACTGTGAAACTATATATTTTCTTAATAAAAAATTAAAATAATTACCTGAGGAGTGGTAATGGCCATTGACTAGCTACCAGAGAAGTCCTAATCAACTGAAAGCAAAAAGCATTTCCCCATTGGAATACATTGAAACCTCTTTAATGCATTCCAATGGGGAAGAATTGTCGTTGTCTAGCGAAGATCCACCATAGGTGCAAAGGCTATGCACTGCTGGAGGTTGAAGACTTGCCCCAGCATAAAGATGGTAGTTTTGTGGCTGAGGGATTTCCTGACCAAAGGATCCATGCTCCTTAGGAAGGTTCCAGTCCTGACAAAAGGTTTTCAGGAAAAGAACTGATCCCCATGAAGGGCCAAAAGATCAGACGTCTTTTTTGTTTTGTTTTACATTCTCAAGAGTATTGTTCTAGCTCACATCCCTTTCTGGGGATAATTGCTCTATTGAGACCATTTAACTTATCTACCCATAATATTTTAAGATTACACATTCCAGACAGTCATAAAGTACAATGTCTATACAATGTTATCTTTTGAACTCTTTTAAGATATGTGGATGACTTCTTAAGTTACGAATGTGGAAAACAAAGTAGCATAATTCTTGTTCTTTAATGTTGATGCTTTAGATGAAGTAAAACTAATTATGTAAACTCCAGGAGATGCTGTCTTTCTTGGTGACTTGAATTAAAAAAAAAACAAAGCTAAAGATTGTTGAGAGAAGTGATGCCAAGTGCATGAGAAAAAAAGCATGATTACCACATGCCACATAATTACAGATCTTTAAAAAATCTGTACAGATCTTAATAATATCTCAGAATTGCAGAGCGGTAATGAACCAAATGGATTATCAAGGCCTTCCCTTGTCAAAGAGACACAGTGAAGAATCAAACTCTCAATCTCTGGCTTTGCAGCCAGATGCTTAAACCTCTGAGCTATCCATCAGTTTTTTAAAAAAGTTATAGGAACTCTCTTGAATTAACATGCAGAAATACTACTACAATGATTAATGAGTACCATAGTATCCCTTAGAACAAGAAACACTTTTTCTGAAATAAAAAGGTGAACACATTGTCAAAAAGAAACACTTTTTCTGAAACAAAAACGTAAACACAATCTCAAATTGAAAATGAAATTCTTTTACCTGCTGTACACACACCGTTGCCATCATTGGTTCTCTGCTGAAACAAGATTTCAGATAGCCCAGAATTTCTTCAACATACTAAAAACAAGAAGTTTCAAAAAAAGTGGCTATGTAAGCAAAATGTCTTAAAATACCACTGTATAAATCTACAACACTATGAGGCCTGTATTGTCTGACCAACTCTGTACTGTTTTCGCGAATGCTTTCACGGCCAGGATCTAATGGTTGTTGTGGGTTTTCCAGGCTCTTTGGCCGTGTTCTGAAAGTTGTTCTTCCTAACGTTTCGCCAGGCTCACCAGAAGAACAACTTTCAGAACATGGCCAAAGAGCCCGGAAACCCCACAACAACCATCTATATTGTTTAATAATTTCTTTAGATTTAAAGAATGAGAACATAAGGGGGGAAAAAACCACATATGCCTCCATAGTGATTACTTTCCTTTCAAGAAGGAAACTGCCACAATGATACTTGAGAGTAGCAAGGGTTGATGGGAGTCATAAGGGTTTATGTGATGGGTAGTTCTTTGAGAAACTCCCCTTGTATGGTTTAATGGGCAGGGAGACTACATGTCCCCTGAGCTCCTGAGACTCCCATGGAGTCTTGTCACTCTCAAGCACCATTAGGGAAGTGTCCATCTTCTTGAAAGGCAAATAATGGCAAGCAATTTGGAATTCAAAGATGCAGTCAGTGTCAAGGCTTAGGGTGTGAGGAAGATGCCACTAGGGAAAGGATGACATGGAGTCAAGGATCCAAGTTTGTTTGGGTGGAAGGATACTATCTGATATTGACAGAGAAGTAGCATCTTAACCACCAAATCTAGTTAAAAAAAAGATTAAAAGGGGAAGCTTGAGAAGATGACACATCAGAGCTGTCACTGTCATCAGGTAATGCAGAAAAAACAGTTTTTACTGTCTTGTTTTATATATGTAATCACTCCATTCGAAATAGCATTTATTTTATTTATTTATTTATTTAATTTATATCATGCCTATCTGGTCTCGCAACCACTCTAAGCGGCTACAGAATAATACCTATTGCATTACATTGATAGTAAATCCCTTATCCATAAACTCTTATACCTTCATATATATATACACACACACACAAATTGTTTACATTACCTGTTTATATTTCACACAGGCTCTTCTGTGGCTCATTATTGCAGTTTTATTTCTAGCTAATGTAACGTAGAATAACCAGCAGTCCAACCCACTGTCTACTTGCTTTAGTCTACTTTTGACTCAATATCCAATTTCAACAGCGGATGCCATATCTTCATAAATTTATCTTGTTTAATCTCCCCTCCGTATAATCTGACCCAATTAGTCAGTTTGTCCATCAGTGCCACTGCCCATATTTTATTCAAATATCTTTGCAAAGTGAGGTCCTGAGCATCTTTACAGCATTGGGCAATTTCATTCTGCACTGCCCTTATAAGAGTCACCACCAATTCTTTATTTTATACATTTTCATTTCTTCCAATAAATAGTGAAAAATAACAATAAGGTTTCATTTGGAACTATTTTTTTTCTTCTTATTTTTTTCTAGGCAATTAATTACCTCATACCAGAATACTTCTATATTCAATCACATTAACCACATATGTTCTAATGTTCCATTATGGCTACACTTTTTCCACAATTCTATTATCTCTCAATTAATTTTATGTACTTTGGCAGGACATACATGCCACCTGTCGACTATTTTTAACATCAATTTTTTAGATTTTCCCAATATCGATTTGATAAAGTTTGATAAAGTTAACTATTTGAGTTATTTGAAAGGCTTCATAATATTTTATTAAATGCAGTAACTAATCCTCCTTTTATATTTGGTCGATATTTTACAAAATGTATGAATCTTACTGTTCTTCCTTTTCATGTAATACATATTTCCAAAGTCTCTTTTGCCATAATTTTATATATTTCATTTCTGGCTTGTAGGGGTATATTTTGAAACAAAAATAATTATGGTAAAATAGAGGCTTTTACTGTCAATGTTCATTCACCCTAATAACGATAAATTTAGTTTTCCCAGTTTCTCTATTTTTTTCTCTTATAGTTACAAATACAGCCTTAATTCCTATACACTAGTTGGGTTTATGTTTTTTGTTAACCATATACAGTGGTGCCTCACTTAACCGGTGCCCCGTTTAATGATGAATCCGCATAGCGATGGCAAAAATGCCATCGCTTTTGCGATCGCATTGCGATGTTGGCTATGGGGAAAAATCGCTTTGCGATTTTTCCCCATAGCCCCATTTTCCCCCACCTGAGTGGCAGGAGCTTCGAAGCCCTGCCGCTCAGCTGGGGGAAAATGTCGGCGGTTGGTCGGCGGTGGCTTTGGAAGGACCCCGAAGCCACCGCCGACATTTGCCTTCTGAGCTCTCAAAGGGCTTTCCCCCCGACATTGGAGAAAGCCCTTTGAGAGATTGGAAGGCTCTCAGCGGCGGCTGCGGCAGGGTCCGGATGGCTTCCAGGCGAAGCACTGGAAGCCATCCGACCCCCCTATCCTGCCGCCGCTGCCGCTTGGAACCGCCCCCGCGGCGCCT